GCAGAAACAAGAGGGTCTGCTGCGAGATATGTAGATGAAGGAGGGCCAGTCTTCAGGACGAGTGTGAGGGTGAGGAGAGACACAAGAGACAGTGACGGCAAATGGTTGCAGAGACAGCAGGCCCACTTGAGCTCAGACAAGCCTTTGCGGCTTCCTTTCGACAGTTTCGACAAGCTCCTTCGTTCTTTCCCTGCTGTGCTTGTGGGTTCAGAGCAGGGTGACATCGGGGGACGTGTTGTTTCTTTGGGAAAGAGCTGCGGTCCCTTGCTGTGCGCCTTCCTTTTTATCGTCGTGTACGAAATACATTCGTAGCGTCCATGTGCCCAGCTGCACTTTCCTCTCTTTCCTTTTCCTTTCCTTTTCCTTTCGCTGTCCCTTTTCACTTTCCTTGTTTTCTCCTCTGTCGCTCTTTCCTCTCTTGTCTCGTCCCGTTTCGTCACTAGCGTAGCATGACCCATGCAGCTGAAGAGGGGAATCAATACTGGAGATGGAGAATTTGTGACGCGAAAGCAAAAGCACAGACAATTCCGTTGTTCTTGCGGAGAGTTATGTTCTTCTATTGTCTCTTCTGCCACGCCGCTCTAGCCTTTTGGGGTTGGCCGGGACGGACGTTGCCTCGTTGCGACATACGCCGTAAGTCGTACAACACAGCTCGACATTTTACAAGTACAGACGACTCTTTTCGGAAACGATTATGAAGGGGAGTGTTTCGTCACTGCAAGGGAACGTTGTCCCGAGTCCGGGCTTGTCATAAAAACCATTCCACAGGGTGCAAGGTACTTACAAGCTTTCTTCTTTTCTATCTTCTTTCTTTCCTTTGTCCTTCTTTCCTTCTTCTGCCCATGCCCCTTGTCCCCAATGTTGCACTCGACAATCAGAAAATCATCTCCAGACACGCACCAAGAAGGGAAGAGGGTCGATTGGCGAGTGGTTTGTGCGTTTTTGTGGGAATTGCGTGAGCCGGACCTTGCCAGGACAGGGAAGGGCGCCAGGGAAGGCGTGTGTGCAGACGGGAACTCTTCTCGAGGCAACAAACCCCTGCGGGATGGCGGTGGAAGCCCAACATGGCATGGGGTAGCGGACAAGGAACGAACTACGACGTATGGGAACAAAAGGCGGGCGCGGCGGACGCAGCGGGCACAAGCGAGAGGCACCGTTCCAACCAAAGAGGCTAAGAAGACCGGGGTGCCTGGAAGAGGCTGGGGGGTGTGATGACGATGTTTTCCGACCACAATCGAGGCGAGAAGAGACCAGAGACCAGGGACGCAGAGAATCAATGAAATGTCCTACATTTCACGAATCAGCAGTAGAGAGACAACAGTTGTGCGTAGAATACAACATACTTCTAGTACATTAGAGGCCCTCGTTGTAGCGTCCTGCACCCAGTCAGTCGATCTTCATAACAGGTCCGCTGTAAGTGGAGGCCGAGTGGTCGTGGAGGACGAGAAAAGGCAGTTCCCTTTGGGCCTTCGCCAACGGACACGGCCCGTCGCACGTTGAAGCATGTTTCTGGCTTCCTACCCATGCCCGGCACAATGTGCACAACCATGTAGATGACAACAAAGTGCACGTACCAGCAACAGCAACAGCAACTGTAACCGCCCGCTGTCTTGCATCGTTTTTGCATCTAGTTATGGGCCAGTTGCACCAATAAGGCGGACAGAAGCCGAGGTGTGGAAGAAAAATCATAATGAAAGTGCCCTTCTGTACATTGTCGACATTCGGGAAAGACAACGTGAAGATTCTCAAAGCCAGCGACAGTCAAACTCTGCGGCGGGCAGAAAGCTCGCATTCTGTCTCCCTGTGTATCGAACATGTATTCCGTCATCTCACTGCTTGCATTCTGCAATTCTGCACTTCTGCAGCCGTTGGATGCCTAACGTGTCCCTCTGCATGCCTCTGCAGCCAAGTCATGACAGTCGAGACATGTCTTAGACAAGGACACCACATACTCAGCACAGCACAATTTTGCATATGTTTACCCTCTGAAGCTACCATACTATTAAGCCGTTCGGCCGTTCAACCGTTCAACCGTCGTGTTTCCAATGTTGACCGTTGATTGTGACAAAGGCGGGAGCAAAGGACGAAAACGAAATACGAAAAGGAGTGGTTGAGAAAGGAAGAGGTGCAGGCAAAGACATAGCAGCAAAGTGCAAGGCAACACGCATCAATTCAGCACCAGGCCGAAAGTCTCGGCACTCTCGACAGCTCATCCCTGCTTCCCGCAAATGCAAGGGTGGTGTTCCATTCGTTGTCGTGCACCCATGACCTGTCAATGATATGCGGCTGGGAGGGAGCTTCATTTACGACTGCTTTCACATTTCATTTACGCCGTCACAAGCACAAGGCCGTCTTGATAACAAGAAAACCGGGTAAAGTACGACGTAAAGACCCGACCAAACGGCGGAAATTAAGTTGACAAACACGTTCTGTACCAAAACCCTGTCCTTTTTTGTCCCATCCTCGTGGCCGTCCAAAGTGACCCAGACCCATCCATGGCGCCCTGCAACACAACAGCGGCTATTGTTGCTCGTGCATAATCTCTGGAACGCGCCGGGGACGGGTGAGACGGAGAACAGTCGAAAAAGGGACATGGGAGGGGGGATAGCTGCTTCTGCTGTGGATGGACTGGGCTGTCTGCAGGCTTGGGTTCTGCTGCACTGCAACGCTGTGTGCCTATTCATAACGTGGGATGCACCACAGGGGTAGAAAGAGTTAAGAAAGAGAAAAAACGTACAAAGACATTTCGTTTCGTCCGAATGTTGCAAAGAAAAAAGAGAAGACAAATGAAAGAAAGAAAAGAAAGAAACAAACTTACGAAGAAAATAAAGTCGAATTTCCACTGTTTGTTCATTAGAACATGCAAGGAACAGGAATCGAAATCAAATCGAACGACAAATAAAGATATTCCAGTGATTCCCAACATGTCCCCCTCGCTTCGACTCAACTTGACTCCGTATGATTCTGTATCTTTACATCCCAGCGCACATCAACTCACCGACACCCCTGCACCTGTTCTCTGCATCCTGCACTCACTCACTACACTCACGCCTTGCATTTCATTTCCACAGCCGGGGAACATCGTTACCAAACCGGGACCGTCATCACCAATCCTACCATCCGAAGAGGATCCACTCTACGGACATTGAATCCCACCGACCTATCACCCTCCGATTTTGCTTTGTACGACGTTGTCTTTCCCGTTTGCTTCTTTTTTGTTCTCATTTCACCTTCCTCTGCTTCCTTCTATGGACCAAATTTGGCCCGTCGCCTCAACATTGGCCCGTGATGGCCTGACCTGCGTCTTTGCCCCGGCGTTCCCCATCTGGCTCTTGCTCGCGCACAACCCGCTGCTGCTGGACTGCACCGTGTACTGGGCGGGCCGTTTTGTGCTGCGAGTGCAGTGGGCCGCCCAGTGGGTCAGATGGGCTAGTTCCGCCATCGAGGCCAGCCTCCACGGCCTGCCTCTGCCCCCACCGCCGCCGCCGTGGTCGTCCGGTGTGCCCCGAGGGCGCCGGCTCTGCTCCAACGGCGACCACTCCAATTTTGAAGAGACGCGGATTGTCGTGGGCGAGCATTTCCAGCGCATCTTGGGGACCATACTGATGGCTGCTGTCTTGGCGGCCACGCTGTCATGGATTCTCCCTCCAGTGCCGCGTCTGGCCCTGTCTTCGTCTCCATCGTCATCATCTGACCTCCCCCGTCTCACTAACCCTCCCGTACAGAGTAACCTATTGCCCGACCCGTGGGCCAGTGCCGACTTTATCCATAGTGGTGCCGTTGTCGAGCAGAACAGCAACGATATCGCCGTTGTCACCGACACCGATGCCTACACCGACGCCTACGCCACTATCAACACCAACACGGCCCTCCTGCCCCGTCGCCACTACCACCGCCCGCCAAGCCAGTTTGCCCACGGCGCCGATCCCCGCGTGCGGATTCGTCGGGACGTGCCGGGGGGCGCCGATGTCCGGGACGTTGTCGTCCGAGGTGCGTCGCCCGCTTCGTCACAAATGAACAAGCACCTGCCGCCCCTCGGCGCGTCTGGCTTTGCCGCCGCCCGCAAAGCCGCCCGCCAAGCCCAAGAGGCCGCCGCCGACCAGTGGGTCCTCGCGCTGCGGCAGCGCTTGATGGACGAAAACAGAGAGGCCAAGGGTCTGTCGGTGGGGACGCTCCACGGCGACGACGACGGCAGCGAGCTGGCCCTCGCACGGTCGGCCTTTGGGCTGGGCTGCACGGCGTGCGGCGACGGGTCGGCGGTCTTTGTGGATGTGGACGCGCTGTTTGACGACGTGGTGCGGCGGCACGAGCGGGAGGGCCGACAGCGACCAGACGACCGGTTCGACTACGAGAACCCGCACGATCGGGATGGCGACGCATCTTGGTAAGTATCGTGCGTGAGGGCAGACCGCATTTTGTCTCTTTGTCACTTGGGTAGGTTTGGTAAGTTTCTTTCGTTTGTGGCTGCGTTTGTATTCACTTCCTTTTTTCAACTTGGACATGGTGTTTCCCGCCTTTCTTCCTATTATTTAGTATTCCTTTCCCGGGCGTAGATTTTGTAAACGTAGAGAAGCAAATGGATGTGCATTCGTTCGTAGATCGTAGAGTCTTTCGAAAGCATACGCGAACAAAAGAACAAAGAAGCACCTTGATTCTGTTTCCATGCAATGGACTTGCTCTATTTTCTTTGATAGGCCTGAATTTGTTTGGACCTGGTAGCCAATTGCGGCCGTCACTCCGTCTTTCATCCCTTGCGCACGCCGCTTTCAGCGTTTGCCCTCACCAACAGACGTTTCTTCGTCGCAAATGGTATTAGCAGAGTACAGTCGTTCTGCGACGATAGTAAAGTGCGCAGCTGTGAGGACGTAGAAATGTAGAGTTGAGACATGAAGTCAAACAGCTAATCTCCTTCACTTGTGTCGTGACACGGCATCGTCACTCCATCTGCGACTAGCACAAACAAGCTCAACACCATATTCACTTGGACATCGACCATCACGATGCCTCCAAAGCAAGCACACAACGCGGGACAGCCGCCAAACCCGTCAAACCCGCCAAACCAGCCTCAACAGCCTCAGCAGCAACCGCAACCTCAACCTCAACCTCAACTGCAACCTCAACAAGCTCAACCGCAACGACAACCCGCCAACAATGGCCAGGCCGCACGACTTCAGTCCCATATCAGAGGACAGGTGCAAAAGCCCAATGTAGGGCCGGCACAGCCGCAACAAGGACAGCCAGGACAGCAGGGACAGGCACCAAAGCCTGTCGTGGCCAACGTTGGAGTGAATATTCCTCCACAGATCGTGCCTGTCGTTGCTGCCGTGCCTGTCGTTCCTGCCGTTCCTGCCATTCCTGGTCCACAACAAGCAAACGCGAGTGCAAATACAAACCAACCTCCCACTCTTCAACCTACTCAGGCTCAAGCACCTCCACCTCCACCACCACCTGGTCCTACACCGGCAGTACCACCTCCACCACAAAACCAAACACAAGCTCCTGCAGTACTTCAGCCGTTGCATCCAACTCCAGCAGGACCAAGTGCTGCCCCTTCCGTACAGGCTAATCCAGCCATGCCGATACAAAACGCTGGTGGTGGATCAGGCGCGGGAGCCGCAGCCGGAGTCGGAGCCGGAGTCGGAGCCGCAGTCGGAGCCGCAGTCGGAGCCGCAGTCGGAGCCGCAGTCGGAGCCGCAGCCAACGCTGTTCCGGGAGATGGAGGAGGCGCCGCGGCTGCCGGCCCGCAGGCACAGGTCGCCAACCTTCCCCCGCCACCCGGAAACAACCCTGCCGCCGCACCTGTCATCGGCACCGAACTGACCCTCTACCTCCTCGCCCAGCAGCTCTACCTCATGCTCGGCCCGGACGCGCGCACCAACTTGATCGAGCACCTCAAAACACTGCGGCCCGTCCTCCAGGCCCAGGCCGCCGTGATGCCGGATGGGTACCACAAACAACGGCTGCGCACCTACAGCCCGGCCCTGTATCCCGACGACCCAGGCGCACCGCCGGACATTCCAGTGAGCCTGCAGGAGTTTCTCAAGGAAGTGGCCGACGACGACGCGGCGGACAAGTTCCCGTACAAAGGACTGCGGCAGCTGCCCGACGGGTTTGTGCGGCCCCGGGATCTGCTGCCGCGACTGGGATGGATCAACAAGGATGAGGATTCAGATGAGGGTGGCGACGATGACGGTAACGGCGATGGTCATGGTGCTGGTCGTGCTGGTGGTCACGTTGGCGGCGATGGCGCGGCTGCTCAGCCGGCAGTCGAGCACCCAGCACCTGTCGACGGAAACCAGAACAAACGGGTCCATTTTGTGGACGACAGCGACAGCGACGACAGTGACGACGACGACGGAAACGACGGCAACGATGGCAAAAACGGCAGAAGCTCGAAACGGCGGCGACTTGACATGGTTGGCAATGGTGACAACAGCGAGGAGGAAGAAGATTACCTTCTGAGGAGACGGTATGCCAACGTGGGCAGCGAGTCCGACAGTGACACCGACTCGAACACGACCAGTGTCAGGGAACGCGCGCAACGCGATCGTGCCTGGAAAGCGCTGCCCTACGAAGCCCAGCTCGATACGCTCGGCCTTAGCATGGACCGCAGTGGTGAGTGGGACGAGTCGGACACGAACAGCGAGATGGACTACCATGTGGACGAGGATGGAAACGCTCTCATCAACGATGTTGGCGGAGACAGCAACAATGAGGATGGAGCGCCCTACAAAACATGGAAAGAGGCCATGGACAAGGCCCCCGACGACTACTCCGGCTTGTACTCGTACTTCTTGTGGGAAAAGAAGCACAAGCGGCGTGCGCCGGCCGTCCTCAAAAAGGACAGCCTGCCCTGGGTGCCGTACCTGCCCATGGCCACCTACCCCGACAAGACGGCGTACGATCCACAGCTGCCGTCGAAAGGGGCCCTCGACGACGACCTGTGGCTCTATTCGGACGAGGAGGACAACGACAATGGACGAGACAGCAATAGGGGACGTGCACTCCTTCGGCGAGCCCGCTCCGCCTCTGCCTCATTCGATACCGCCGCACCGCCAACCACGGCCCTGCGCCGCCTCCTCGCCCGCCCCATTGTGTCCCTTTCATCCAGCGTGTCACACGCGTTGGCATCTCTACTGCCGCGCGGCACCGGCAGTGACCACAACGGGCAAGCACAGACACAAAACACCAGCCAACGCCAAGCACACGACCACCACATGGTTGACGGCACGACACTCAGTGCCCTTGATCTGGCGACGGCGCTGCACCGCGTTGTGTCCATGCAGTCGAACCTGACCAACGTGCAAGGCATCATGGACGGCCTGAAGCAGGACCTGGCAAAATGGCAGCAGGACGGACGTACGGTGCAGAGATGAACAAGGAGGGTGTGACGACACGGAGACTGTTGTGGATAGAGACACGGAGACTGTTGTGGATAGAAACAAACGAGGGAGAGCATAGCCTGAGTGGTGACTGAATAGTGGCTGTTTTTGAATTTGTTTTCTTTGTGTGATTCTTTGACGGTCCTTGATGTTCTTTGTTTTAATCGTCTCAAAATCAATAAATAGATGAACAATCTAGTATAAGTTTAACAAAGATAGGTGACATTTGTAACAAAACAAACATCCGCATCATTGTGCTCTATGCCTCAATGAAACGAACAATATTATGTCAAAAAAAACTATACAAGCTGGACTTTTTTAAAAAATAAAAATAAAAATATAAACAGCAATATGAACAAAATGAAAAAAGGTAGTGGTCTTTGAAGTATTCGTACTGTTCAGGACAATGATTGCATTTGTTAAACATTGCCATAGCATTTCACAAGACAAACGGGTCTCTTCATAGCAAAGACCATACAACAATACGCTTGTTTGTGCAACAGTTCATCTCGGGAACAGAGCATGTACTCTATTTCGTTTCTGAACATGACGAGAAAACAACAAACTACGATGAACAATAAATAATAGCGACAATACCATGCATTGTATACAAATAGCCCGCATGCTGCAGTATTTTCTTGTGGGCTGTAGTCGACAAACAATACATCCACTGATATTTCCGGCATCGTTGACGACAATACGGAATTATCAGTGCAGCTCAAACCAAGTAAAAAAAACAGCAACATACATCACCAAACAACGTCACCTTGGGCTCCTTTTGCGCAATGGACTCTACGTCACCAAAAGAGGCCGTTGGCATTGAGCAGCGCCAAGACAGATGGCAGTCAAACTCCCGTGCTGGCAGACGGTCATCGACGAAGCGTCACACCTCATGGGTCAGCCACAAGTCGCACAACAAGAGAAAGAGCAAGAGCAAGAACAAGAAGGCGAAAAAGGGCAAGGCCAAGTCCAGTACTCGGTCGCTGACACGCTCGCAGGCCATCTGGGCTGCTCGGGCTCCCAAGCGGATCGTTCCCAAGACCCGCCGTCCTTCACAGCAGGTTTTCTGGTCAATGGTCCAGACGGAGACAGGCGAACAGGTGATTGTAACAGAACTAACCGATGCGTCCACAGCTACGTCCACTGACATATCCACAGACAGCAGACCGTGCCCGTGCCCCGACGAGACCGACCTTCAGAGTGTCCCCGTCAACAACCCGCTCGATGTGGCCAGCCCGGTCCTGTTCCCGGGCGCCCTCGACGGCGTTCTTCCGCGGACCGACTTGGCCGGCGCGCACAACTGCGGCGGGCACCTCCACATCCTGGACATTGACTACTGGCACTCTTCGCTCTGCCGCGACTGCAACAAGTACAACATTCCCGTCGGCGAGCTGCACATTCTGCCGTGCGGCCACTACTTGTGTCTGCGGTGCCTCAACAAGAAGGCAGCGTCCGTTGCCCAGAGCATCTACGACGCAGACGTCTGGGAGAAGGTGCAGCAAGCACTCCACGACACTGCCTTTGCCGAGTCTTTCTACAACTACGACGACGACTACGACGGCCGGCCCATGTACGGACGGCAGCAAGGACCGGGACCCAACAGTCGCCAGTACGGGACCCCCTGGGCGGCCCTCCAGGCCGTCGGCATGCTCTGCTGCGGCATGGACGCCCGCCTCGACCACTTCCTCGGCTGCTTGGACCCGGCCGTCAGCACGGCCTACTGGATCGCCTACGCGGCCGTGCGCGTCCAGCAGCCCGAGGACCTGCGCAGCCGCTGCGGCTGGCCCGACTGCCGGCGGCAGCTGGTGCCGGCGAACCATTTTGTGCGGCACGACCAGCTGCAGTACGCGTTTTGTCTGAGTTGTGGCGGCACGTCACTGATCAAGGACAGGGAAGGTTCCACCATCCCGGCGCGGGCGTGGCAGGAGGACGAGGAGAGCACGTAGGGGGGTTTGACGAGATGTCTAGATGGAGACCGAGGTGACGCTGGTCGTCAACCTTACATAACTATACCAACATTCTTGGATAATATATATATAAAAGACCTCCTTTCCAACGATCATATGTTGTACGTAAAGTGACGAGTAGTAAAATAACACTGTGTCATGCAATGTGCTGAGTAGACCAACGCTGATTGTGCGTCTTGATTTTCTTGTCAATGGTTGGAGTCAGTCCTTCAAGCACGAGGCAGGACAGCAAAGACTGTTCGGAGTTGTCAGCCGAAACGGACGAAATTATGGAACCCTTCAACATACTTCTGTACATGCTTTGCATCCCACGAATGACAAGAATCCCAACAAGCCCCAAACTGGAACCGCCCAGTGCCTTGACCATCCGCTTTGGCCCCAAAATCTCACCTCCCACGCCGTAAGGCTGAATGTACAAGGCCTGTCCTCGATGCACGACAGGACTCTGTTTCTGACGGAAAAGGTACATGCTCCGGCTGACCTCGCGCTGTGACTGGCCACGACTTGATTTGACAATCGCAAACCGCATTCCTTCCAGTATTTTGCTCTTCCTTCCACGTCCCGTTGGCCACTCGATGGTTCCATTCTGCCGGGATGGCCGCCACACCCACGGCGCAGTTTTGACTCGTTGCCGAACCCTCCGTCCGTTCATCTGCCCTTGGAGCCGTCTCTCCCCTTCTCATTGGCCCGACGTGCAATTTGGCACGCTGCGCCAGTCGCACATAGTTGCTGTATATTTGTAGTCAGCCGTCATCTTCCAAATAGCACAGATGACAAATGACGCGATGGCGGGAAGTCCCAAGGCAACGTTGTTTCCCATTTGCTTGTCTTGATCCTTCGTTTCCACTCGTGCTGACGAATGTCTTGACCACATTGTCGGGATGCGTCTGCTGGGGCCTTGTGTGCAGTTGCTTCACCAGGATGTCGACATGGACAAACTCAACTTGCGGCAGACTTGCGGCAGACTTGCACCTCCCTTGCAGCAGCCCTACAGAGCCCTACAACAGCACAGCGCCACAGCACCTACCCCGCTGTTGCATTCGGGGACGCCGTGACAATGGCCGAAGAACTCCCGGAAGTGAGAAATACGTGGGATGGTCAATCTACCTGTTTCCGTGATTTGCTATCCGCAGCTTGTCCTCCTTAAATATGTCTACAGTTCCCTGCCCACCGTGCCACCCCCTGCCTCGGCAAATGGCAAACACAAGTTCCACCTAAGGCAGGATGCAGGATGCATCCTACTGCTGGGATGTCAGAGTCAGAATGTCTCGACGCGGCAGGCAGTGCAAGGAGACGAATGGCATTGCGCCGTGGACGAAACAACAGTCACTCGACTCGGTCGATCTCGATCGACGGGCGCCGGTCCAAGTCCGCTTCGGAATATGGCATTTCGGAGGAGTTTGCGTATTGAACAACACGCTCCGCCTTGTTGCCTTCCACCCTTTTGTTTGTGGCTTCCACTGTCCGCCAAAAGTGGCTCAGGTGGTACTCGCTAATCAGAATCGTACAATTGACATTGTTTCGTTTCATCGTCCAACTCTCCCACTCTTATTTGTGACAACAAATCCTGTCATGTCCCAATGCAATGGTAGCTGTCGTGAAGTCGCCCTGGTCCATAGTCGCATCACCATCAACTGCCGGTCCAGCGTCCAAACACGACGCCAACAGACCACGTGCTGCCAACGACTGTTGGGTGTCGTGTCCTTGTTTGGCGATCCCTGCCCACACGAGCCACAGCCCCGGCGGAAGGATTTCACCGGGAGAGCAGGGGACCTGGCCTTTTCCGGCAGGCCAGGAAGAGGACTTGGGTTGTGCTGGCTTTGGCGATCGACATTGTCTCCCTATCTCTTTGCGTTGGCCAGATTCGAGACTTGAGGAAAGAGAAGTACTGTTTGAGGCGGCGACCGTACGTCGATATCAAGATCCTGGAATATTGGCGACTTAATAAAAAAAAGTAAGGAAATTAAAAGAGTACCAATCGTTAAAGAAATTAAACGAGGCAGATAGAGGGCAAGCTTACGACCTATGCAAGCTTTCCCTAGCTGCCAAGATCGCCCAATCTTTGTCGCCCCGTAGGGCCACCAGTAAAATAACACGGCTGAGCCGCTTGAAATTGGGACTTGTTACGGAAGGATTCGCAACGGGCTCGCCAGATGAAGCGGCCACTTTGGCGACACTTTCCAAACGGGCAAGAGTGCTGGAGAGGAAAAGCAGCAATAAAGATTGATCAACATCTCGTATTCGCAATACGGTCAACATCGTTGCAACGGTCTTTCGGACATGCATGCGGTCGTCTGAATGTGGAGTTTCGATCGACAGGTATTGGCCAGATGCCCGCAGCCGATCATCCCTTTCAGCCCCCTTCCAACAGAGAAGCGAAGAGACGCTCGACGACAGCCAGCGCGCCAGCTCGCAAACCGACCAACCGGCGCCCAGCAAGTGTCGGCCGGGCGCATGCCTAGACAAGCTACGCGCTCATCATCTTCACTAGGTGAACGGCCCACGCAGGATTCCCCTCTTTTGATGCGCCTAGACCAGGTCGAATTGGAGACGCCACCACGCTCGAGACAAGCAACGGCAACGGCGGCTCCTCAAGGGCCGTGGTGCTGAATCTAATGAAGACGAGGAATGATGGACGAAGACGCTCGCGTTGGACATGAACGACGGAGAACAAGAAAAGGCTGCCGTCAATGGCAATGGCAATTGCACGAAACTAGAGGAACAAAATAGTTTGCTGGACGAATACGTTTGTCGTGCAATGCCTATCCATACCATCCATCCCATCCATCCCATCCATCCCAACCCTCCCAGCGCCAGCTCTCACGTTGTCTTTCCATTCTCACACCCATTGCAACGGCGGCCCACCCCATCTTGACCTCGCCAAAAGAAAAATGCATGTCCCCACGGCGAGTGCCATAAGTTGCCTAGTGCCTGTCCGGGGAGTGCTGAAAGATTGTGAAAGATTGGCGGTTTGAAATAAAATGGAGGACGCCGTTGGGAACAGAAGAGGGCGTGTGTTGTTATGGTGTATTCTGCAAGTCGTCCCTCGCGCAGCAAAAGAAAGCAAACGCAACGCAACAACGTACCATCACCTGAGCTCGGAGCTATGGCACCCCAACCTTGGCGTCCTCCGTTCGACGTTCTCCGTACAAAGTTTAGCTTCCCTGCAGCTTCCCTGCGCAACCGCAAGTGACACGACCCTGGCCGTTTGGGACGCGGTTCTTGGCCCGGTCTTCTGGTCCTTGTCCCCCGGGTCCAACTTGGGCTGAACCTGGATTTTCAAAGTACAAAGTAACGAGTATGAAGGTTGTTCGTTTTTGTTCCTTTTCCATGCCCCCCTCGCCCGCCCCCTCTTCTCTCCTTTCCCCCAAGTCCTTTATTCCCCCCCTCTCCTCCTGCTATTCTTTATTTTCTCGCGATTGCTTTTTTACGATTTTCCTCTTCTGTCGAATCCCACCTGTTCTGCATTCCATCCCCCTTTCTACCCATTTCCCGCCAGCAACACGCCCCAATCGACCTCGACGGCCCGCGACCGACGCGGCGGACACGACGAACCGGAGCCGAGTACGCAGAATCGGTCTGTGTCAGTACGGAAATAATACTTTGTGCACACACATCCCGCTGTGTTGGGACATTGCTCCGTCCTTGCTCACTGCACCCCTCCCTGCCCCACAGCACAGACGGACACGCTCACTCAAGCTTATTCTGTGTCTGCGTCTGTGTGTGTCTCTTTGATTCCCCCGTTTGGGCAGCCCATTTCTTTTCGTTTCGTCCCTTGACGTCGTCTCAGAAGCGTGGTGCCACTGTCAAGTGTGTACAGCAACGACAAATAAACGGGGACGAGGGACAGGAAAGGACACAAAAAGAAAAAAAAATTAAAAAAGGGGTTGCCAAACAAAAAAAGCAGCCTGGCAAGCGTGGTATTGGTCAGATCGACCCAACCAACAGTCACAACAACAAAATAAAGAAGAAAAAAAGACCCACGAAAGCGCATCCCGACAAGGTTGACTGGCCCCCAATCTGTCTGTCATCCCATTGCTTCGACACCATCTCTCGCGTCTCTGTCACACCCTTCGGTCCGGGAAGCTTGACCTCGTTTCCTGTCCCTCGGGTCAGGCCCTCTTCGAGGTGCATTGTTTTCTGACACCAAGTTTCTGATATACATATTTTCTTTATCAGACTCTCCTCGGCGCCACATATTGCCGGCCCTTGGCCATCGGTCGCCCTGCCCGACTGGTTATCTCTTCGTCTTGTCTTTGTCAGGGGGTGAGACCGCTGACGGGATCCCTCCCAGTTTTGCCCTCCGTTCGCCGTCTGTGATATATCCTGCTTTGTAACGCATACAACACCCTGTCTTGGCACTCGCTATTCTTCTTTTCTCTTCGTTTGCCTCTTCATTTTTTATTATTGGCGGTTTCCTCTGGGAGGGAAGCAGAAGGCGACAAATCGCCATTTGGTGGCCCAAAAAACCGACGCACCACGATAATGCCATACGAGCGTGCTGAGAACAGAGGTCGCGAAAACACAGCAGAAAACGGAATATTGCCCGAGACACAAGTATGGCGTCGTCTCTGCAGCACAGTGGCGTTACAGTGAACCGGAGTGACAACAGTGGCAGTGGCAGTGGGAGTGGCGCGGCAGATGCAACTGCACCTGAAAGTGGCTCGTCCTCACAGAAGGTGCGAACCACTGCAGGCACTCCTTCCGAATTCAGGTGAGTCCAAAATATGGAAAGAAGTCATCCTCTGGTTCTTTCCCATTTCGATTCAAATTCAACTTTCCTCGGCTTCCTTCCCTTGTCCACTCTCAACGCCAACTGCCAGCCTCAACTCCCCCCCTCACAATGGCGATGACTCTTTCTCCGACACTGACACTGAGCAGACTGCCGCCTGGCCCACCGTCCACACAGCCGATGCAACATTCACAACAGCCACAACAGCCGCAGCAACAACAGCAACAGCAGCAGGGCCCCAAGGTCTTGACATTTGCCCTGAACCACCGGCCTCGCGCCACCCGCGCCAGCGTCCCCAAAGTTCGGACAGGGTGCAAAACATGTACGTTTCGTGATGTCTTTTGAGGTCTTGCTTTGAGCTACGACTGCCATTTCTTTTTTCATCTTGGGACTGGACAGAACTAACGCGATGCAGGCAAGTGAGTAGGACTGCGGATGAGAACGTCTGGTGAGGGTACGGACAACTGGACGACATACTGACCACCCAGAAAACGGCACGTCAAATGCGACGAGGCCAAGCCGTCGTGTATCCGATGCATCAAGTGGCAGGGATTTTGTGAAGGATACGAATCAGTGCCAGCAGATGCAACTGCGGCGACGGCAGCCGCCGCGGCTGCTTCACAACCGGCGGCGGCATCACCGGCACGACCACAGACGACATCTCGAGCGACGCCGACGACAACCCCCGCCGGGACACCGCCGGGCGCTCCGCGCACATCCAACAGCCCGCGGCTGCGCGTTCCCACAGACACAAACAACTACCCCAACCCAGACGGCGCACCCTCCACGTCCTCCTCGTCGGCCACAGTAGGCTCCCGGCGGACAACGCCGGCTTCTGACGTCTCGGCCACCGAATTCGTGCCTGTACCCGTTTCGGCAGCAGTCGCACCAAGGCAAGCAGCGACAGCAAGCCTGTCTGCCCCATACATAAAGCGCGAACCCGGCCTCGACGACGAAATCGACACGCAACGTGCCCGCCTCTACCAACCGACCAATCTGGGCGACGTCAACGGCAAAGCCAGTGTCGCCTCGCTCCCACAGCCGTCCGCACGGCAGCCGACATGGCAGCCAAAACGACCCACGCCACAATACCCACGTACACAGACAGCATACAAACGCGAATACGAAGACGACGGCGACGACAACGGCTACGGAGTCGAGGCCGAGTACGGCACCAACGATGCCTATGACGTCTACTATACCCATGCCCCAGGCGCTGTCGCGGCCCAGCGGAACACGTTTGCCCAGCCGTTTTTTGACCTGGCCCTTATCAATGGCGGCGTTGCGTCGTCGTCCTTCCCGCTCGAACCCAACTACAACAGTGTCATGTTCGCCTCGCAATGGGAAAAGGCCTACTTTGACAGCTGGCTAACACTTGCGCCGAACCTCGGCGGCGGCTGGTTCCCCTCCCACCTGTGGACCAGCACCATCCCGCAGCTGTGCCGAGACGAGCCCGCCGTCCGCTTTGCTGCCATTGCCATTGGCGCCATGGCGCAGGCCATGTCGCCAGCCTTGCTGGGCAAGTCCTACCTCCACATGCTCGGCGGTGATCAACCCCCTGGCGGACAACTGCCAGGCGGTGGCGCCGCCGTACCTGCACTGCCATCGCCCGCCGACCCCTCCGTCTCCGCCAGCAGCGTCGTGCCTCACTACCGCAACGCTCTGACGTACCATGGACACGCACTCCGCCTCATTCGTCTGGGCGGCGGTGGACGCACGGCCCCCGGCTCCATCTCCACCGGCCCCTCAACCATCCGACGTTAGTACAGCAGCTCTACACCGGCGACAACCCCGCGACGCCTCCCTCCGCCGAGAAAGAACGCGCCGCCGTGCTCTGCTGCCTGCTGTTTGTCTGCTTCGAGGCTTTGCAGGGCAATCGCGAGGCCGCCCTCCGCCACATCACGAGCGGCCTGCAGATTGTCGACCAGTTTGTGGCCCGGAACCTGCCGCCGCGCGCCCTGTCCGAGGCCCAGGCCTACAGTTCGCCCGACGAGGCCAGCCTGCTGGCCGGCACCGACAGCGACATCGAGTGGCAGCGACGGCGGAAGCGCCAACGCCAGCGGGACCGTCAACTCGGTCTGCTGGCAGAGAAGAACGACCCGGCCGCCAGCCGCAACAGCAACAGCAACGGCAACGGCACCGCCGATGCGGTAAGCACCACAGCCAGCGGACAAGACGGACACAACGGACACCGCACGACTCTCAGCGAAGACCGCCCCTCGGACAGCTTGACCCGCGTGTTGACGCGCTCCCCTGCGCCCTACGTCCTCGAAGACGAGGTCATGCAGGTCTTCCGCCGCCTCGACTTCCAGGCCTGGTCCCTCGGTGTTTTCCGCCTGCGCCGCACCCGCCCGGCCGACATCAAGTTCCAAGCCCTCGACGCTCTGAACCCCGCCACCATCCCCGCCCGCTTCGATACCTTGGACGACGCCCGCCGCTGGTGGGACTTTGTCCAGCACTGGATCCTCCAGTTCCCCCGCTACATGGTCGCCGCCCTGCAGCGCTACATGGACGAGAATCCGGACGCCGCCGCCCGCGCCACTGCTGCCGGCCGCATGCTCGACATCTGCGACGTCCCCGGCGCCCGCGAGATCCAGCGCGACTACCTGCACTGCCTGGAACGCTGGTACGCCGCGTTTTATCCGCTGTACGAGGCCACACGGCGCCAGGGCGCACACCCCGGTGGCAGCGGTGGCAGCGGTGGCAGCGGTGGCAGCGGCGACCCGGCGTCTGCCACGGCTGCCGCGGCCGCCGAGGCTGCCTACTTCCGCGCCGCCAGCCTCAAGATCCCCTACCTGCTGGCGTGGATCGGCGTCTCGTCCCTCGTCTACTCGGACTACGAGGCCATGTACCAGCTGACGCCACAGTTCCGCGAGCTGAACCGGCTGGCCGCCCTCATCCTCCCCAAGCAGCCCCGGTATGCCTGGTCGCCGTTTGGCGGTGGAGCGTCCTCCATTTTCGGGCCGCCCTCAGGCAGCCCAAGCCCCGGCAATGGCGGCAATGGTGGTACAGGCGGCCAAGGTGGCACAGGCGGCACAGGCGGCACAGGCAGCGGCGACCTCTTCACCATGGACAACGGCCCCACCATGGCCCTCTTTGTCGTCTCGTGCAAGTGCCGCGTCGAGGCCGTGCGCGACGAGTCCATCCGGTTGCTGGCTGCGTACCCGCGCCGCGACGGGTTCTGGGACAGCAAGATTCTGTGGGCGATTGCGGACTGGAACCGGGTGATTGAAGCCGAAAACGAGACCGAAGGGAGCCTCTATGAACAGTACGTCGGATTGCGCGAAAGCGCGCATGTAACCACCCACTCTGATGCCCGTTGATGACAACTGATGACATCCTGCTAACACACCCAGATGGCTCCGCCTGCGCCAACGCGAAGCGATTTTCGACGAGACCAAGCCCGAGGTGCAGATGACGGCGTGGGTCAAGAACAAGGCGACAGGCAAGTTTGAGAAGCTGACACAGACGGTCAGGTGGGATCGGTAGGGGGTGGTGGTCTGGCGGTCTGGTAGTCTGGTGGTCCTTTATTGAACGGAAAGTGAATGAACAGTACGGTATGGGAACGGCCAGGAAAAATATAGAAAAGAAAGATGGGCAACTTCACAGTTACATGGGAGGGCATTGGATGGTTGGGTTGGGGATTTTACGTGCATCGGGGATTCCATGGGGGTAGATAAAACAGGAGTGACAATGTGTCAATCGGGGTGCAAATGAATTTATGAATAAATTTCCAGGAAAATAAAACTGTAGGACTCCAGAATTGTACTAATTAGAAAAAAGGTTGTATGACATCGCTGAGGGTGAATTGCGAAAAGGGGCAGCGGTCGAGTAAACACGGGTTAGGTGCATACCCCACCATGTGCAGGTCGCGGGGGGTTAAGCTAAACTTACTGGGACGCGTCAAGCGCGTCTCAATGTACGAAAAAAGGACCACTGAAGAAGAGAAGAGACGACGACCTTTACATTCCCCCAGTTCTCGTCAATCAACGCCAATTCACACCTACAACTCTCGCGCCATGGCCTCGTCCTTTCCACCGGGCCTCCTCCCCGCCGAGGTCGCCTTTGTCTGCGAAATGGAACACGTCACCGTCGTGCCCCGCCAGCGCCTCGACCCCATCCCCCTCCTCGGCGGCGCCACGCCCCAGCTGCGCCCGCCCTATCGCGCCGTCCTGCCGCTGTGGCTGGCGCTGCTGCTCAAGCGCCAGCGCCGCGCCAGCATCGTCGCCCCGCCCTGGCTGCACCCGGCCAGCCTGCGCGAGCTGGTCGTGCTCGAGACCAAGAACCAGACACCCGACGACCCGGCCGCCGAGCGGGACAACCAGCGGCACGGTACGCAGGGATTTGAGGACGGCGACAACGACGGCGACGACGGCGACGGCACGCGCGTCAGGTTTGCACCGCCGCCGCCGCCGCCCGTGCGCGCCGACGGCGCGGGCAACGCGCGGCGGGTCAATGGCCAACACGGCCAGCAAATCGGCCAGCAAAACGGCCCGTCGGTCCATGGCTTCGTCGGCGATCCGCTGCTGGGCGCCCCTCTCCCGCTGTCGCCGCCCTTTTTGCCCTCCTGCACGGCCGACGCGCCCGCCGGCTACCTGCCCTACCACTGGTTCGAGGTCGCCGAGATCTTGCTGGCCCACGCCCCCGACGACCTGCCCGCCCCCGTCGGCGAGGTCCGCGCCCTGCTGCGGGACCTCGCCGAGGCCCGCGCCACCAAAGTGCGGCACCTCGCGACCATGGCGGCGGCCGGCCCGGACGCAGTGGCGGGGGCGGCCCGTGCGCAGCATCCGCTGGCGCGCAAGCCGGCACCGGCGATTGTCAACCTGCGCGGCATCGGGGCCATGGAGCTGGCGGAAGCGCGCGGGCTGGTGGCGGCCGTGCACGACGGGGTGCGGAAACTGGGCGCGGCCGCAGAGGCGAGCCGGCGCGACGAAGAAGACCTGATGGGCGGCGCGGGAGGCGCTCGTGGTGCCGCGGGTGCCTACGATGACGACGATGACGACGAAGACGAAGATATGATTTGAGAGACACAGAAAAGAGGGACACGGAAAAGGAGTCAAAACGATGGCAAAGATTCATTACGATTGGGAGACTATGGGCGTTTTTACATTGCCGCTGGCACGGCTGTTGCTTGCTACGGTACAACCATCCTCCCCCCTGGCTGGGTCCCAGCTCGGCGGGCCCCTAGTCAAAAACATCCGTGGCGTACCGCTCGTACCGGATGCGCGCAAACCACGCATCCGTTTCCTCCTCCGTCTCCGGCTTGCCGGCGGCCGCACACGCCTCCTGGCGCATCCGCAGCAGCGTCTGCTTGACGCCCTCGCCGAGCTGGCGCGACCCGCACACATACACGCGGGCGCCCTGTTGCCAGAGTTCGACCATGTCCTCGCGATCGTGCCACAGGCGGTCCTGGACGTGCTTGCAGCCGTGTGTTTCGTCGCTACGATCCGTCTGGCGCGAGTAGGCGCGGTGGACGGTGACGGCGCCTTGGGCTTCCCACTTGTCGAGTTCGTCGCGGTACAAATCGTCGGCCTGGCCGCGGCAGCCAAAGAAGAGGTGCGCGGGCGCCAGATGGCGGCCGGCACCAATCAGTGCCGCACGTTCCTGGATGAAACCACGGAAGGGTGCGAGACCGGTGCCGGCGGCGATGCACACAATCGGCACATTCTCCCCGTCGTGAGGCAGGTGGAAGCTGGCATGGCTGGGGCGGACCGCGACATGAATGCGGTCACCCGGCTGGAGGTTCGACAGGTAGTGGGACGCGACGCCCACATGCTTGCGCGACTCGTCGGCCAGTGCAGGCGCCGTCAAGATGGCGTACGACAGGGTGACATGGTTGGCGTTCCAGAGAGGCGAGCTCGAGATCGAGTACTGGCGGACGCGCATGGGCGGCAGCAGAGTCAGGAAGGTGCCGAAGGGCAGGTCCACCGAGGGGAAGCGGTCGAGCAGGTCGAGGATGGACACCTTCTTGGCGCTGACCTCGCTGGTGTAGTCGTCACTGGCGAGGCGCTGCAGGTCCGTCTTGGCCTGGCCATCAGCCACGTCGGCGAGGGCAAGGATGCTCTAATGTTGCAGTTAGTATGAGTAGACAGGATGACGGTATCAAGGGAGATGGGAAGATTGGGAGCAAGATAGGATTAGCAATTCAAGTCAATACAACCGGAATGGAGACGCACCCTCTTCGTGGCTGGCTGGCCCAGCTCGACGTAGGCACCAAGGACACCGTAGACCGGCAGCGGCGTGTTTGTTGGCATGTTCGTCTGTGTCGAGTCGGCGCCGCCGTCGTTCGTGTGCACGGTGAGGTTGGCGTCCCACGGCAGGTGGAAGCGACGCATGGCGCGCGTAATGGACGCCTGCCGGTTGAAGGGCAGGATGGCCAGGTAGTCGCCGGCATTGTAGGTCATGCCGGTCGGCAGCTCGATCTCGACGTGCATCTTGCGGCCAGGCTCGCCTGGCTCGCCCGACAGCGAGCGGGCGGCGACCACGACGGCTTCGCGCACATCTTGACGCAGGTTCGACGCACGCGGCGTGGAGATTTCGATGCGTAGGTCGGGCACGGGAGCGGCGGCGGCAGCAGCAGCAGCAGCACCACCCTTGCCGTTGGCATCGCCACCGCCCACGTTGTATTTGGCCTTGAGCGCCGGGAACAGGACAGTGTCCTCCCAGGTCTCAAAGTCTTCAAACATGTTCCCCTCAGCAGCGTCGGTCTTGCCCATGGTGGCCAGGCGATCACCGCCGAGCACTTCCAGCTGGCTGTCGACCTGCGTCGGGATCTTGTGGAAGGTCTGTGCCCAGTCGTGGTGGCCGCAGCCAAAGACTGCATACGCGACGCCCTTGGCAACCGCGTCGCCCGCTTTGCCGTTGCGCAGCCAGTTGACAAAGAGGCCGGCATTGTCTGGGGGCTCGCCCTCGTACGAGGCAGTAACAATGACAACGGGGCGGCCGTCGGTTGGCAAGGCCTGGTGGGCGGCGTCCAGGGGTGCGAGGACATCGGCGTGGAAGCCGTGGGCAGGTGCGTCGGCGGCGATGCGGTTGGCCATGGCCTCGCATGTGCCGCTGTTGGAGCCGTAGTACACGTTGAGAGGCCTGCCAGTGGCGCTGGCGGCAGCGGCAGCGGCACCATTCTTGGGCGTCGACGAGGCCGAGGCGGTCTTGCTGCTGTCGGTGGGCGTGCCCGCGAGTCGCTTCTCGAGCAATGTGGGCGTCAGGCCCTGGCGTAGCTGGGCGCGCATGAAGAAACCGTCGGGCTTGATGGTCAAGGTCTCCTTGAGACGCAGCTGGTAGCTTGCGTCGTCGAATCGGAAGTTGAAATTTTGCAGGAGCATGGCCATGACCAGCAGGGCCTCCTGCCAGGCAAAGGGCCGCCCAATGCAGGCACGCGCGCCGTTGCCAAAGGGCTTCCAGCAGTTGGGGAACGCCTTGTTGAGGAGCTCAAAGTTCTCGTCGAGCATGCGCTCGGGGCGGAACGAGCGGGCGTCGTCGCCAAAGACGACTGGGTCGACCTGGGCGCGCATGAGGAGCATGACCAGGTTCTCGCCGCCCTTGACAAAGTACTTGCCGCCGGCCAGCGTCTCGTCTTTGCGGGCGGTGACGCCAACGGCCGGGATGGTGGCGTTGAGGCGCAGGGTCTCGCGCAGGACGGCGGCACTGTACTTGAGCTTGGGGAGCTGGTCGACGGTGATGGGCCCGGTGCCACAGACGTCGTCGACCTCCTGCTGGGCGCGGCTGTAGGCCTCTGGGTGCCGCAGGAGGTCGTAAAACGCAAACGACAGCATGCCCGAGGTCGTCTCGTGGCCGGCAATCAAAAAGGTAATCAAATTGTTGGTGATGGAGGCATTGTCCAAGGTCTCGCCGGTCCGCGGATCGGTGCCGCTCAGCATCGCGGCCAGCAAATCCTTCCGCTCGGACGGCGGGTTCTGTGCGCGGCGGGCATTGACCACGCCGTCGGAGACGGCACGCATGGTCGCAATGTCGGCGGCATACTGCTGGTCGGCGGCCTTGTAGAACATGGCCGGCAGTGGTGGGCGGCGGCTCCGGTTGCCAGACTCAACGAGGAAGTTGCCCATGGCGCTGATAAAGGGGTGCATCTCTTCGCTGTAGAACGAGTTGAAGCGGTAGTCCATGGCACAGAGGGCCAGCGTGTCGAGGGCGAGGCGGGTAAAGTCGTCCGTCACATGGATGGGTTCGCTGGGGCCGCGGCGCGCCCATTTGAGTGCGAGCTGGGTGGCAATGTCGTGCATGTCGTCAAACATGTTCTGTATGGACAGCGGCCCAAAGGCGGGCGTCAGGATGCGGTGGGCCTTGCCCCAGTTGGGCTCTTCCTCGCCAAAGGCCGTGAAGAGGCCATCGTGGACGCCGTTGCGGACCTGCTTGAGGACGCTGCCGACGTTCTTCTTGAAGCGCTTCTCGTCGCACACCTCGTTGACGAGGGCGTTGCTGGACAGAAAGACGGATGTGGTGCCGACAATGTTGAGCCGGAAGATGTCGCCGTGCTGCTCGGCGAGGCGATTGATGGACTGGATGGGGGCGGCCACGTCGAGGTCGCGCAGGTTGCCGATGAGCGGCAGGCCTGGCGGTGACGGGATCTGTTCTGTGCCGATGTCCATGGCGAGAGGGAAGAGGGGAAGAAGCGAAGCGGAAAAGGGGAAAAGGAGGTCGACGATGATGATGTAGATGGGGCTTTGCAGCACCAATGGCTTGAAGTGGAAGGTACAAGCTCAATGCATGGCACTTCGAGAGAAAGAACATCAACGAGCAAAACAAAGGAAGGAACGATGACGCAGCGGGGAGGGGCAGCACATATACAAAGAAGTTGAAGGATCTGCAAATCTGGCTAACGCAAGACAGGGGCACAAAGAAAAAAAATAAAGCGATGAATACATATACAAAAGCACTATGTCGTAAGGGTCGGTGAGATCCGAGACAGGCTCGACGGACTACAAAAGCCCCAATCCTTGCGATCTGCACAGGCGGGGAAAGCATCCAGAAAGCTTCGGAGGCCATGCTCCACTCCTGGCATCGCTCCTTCCCACGAGGGTCATGCACGGAGTGTCTGCTTCGGTCGTACTTGCTGTCCTAGATGCCGTGGCACAAGCAAGACTACAGTATGTACATAGTAAGCCACCAGGGGTAAATCACAGCCACCACAAAGCCAATACAAGTCAATAGGGCAGCTGTAGTCTACATTCTGTCTTACCATAAGGAGTCCACAGGGGCGGCGGGACGAGATTGTAACAGGAAATATTGAACTATCAGCTGCAGGAGGCGAAAATAATGTGTTGAGAGAGTGCAGTATGTGGATTTGGTGGACCGAGGAAGATGTAAACGAAAACGAGCAGTGCATGGCAACGCCACTTACGCCGTACGTCGTATTTCATGTGTGTTAGTGACCAGGGACACCTACGCCGCTGTCGTCACTCTGCTTCAGTGGAGAAACCAGGCTTTATTTATATCATTCGGCCTGTTTCGCAGCTTTGGTGGCATTACAGGGGCTGATTGGTGCACTGGGCAGCTCGAGTGGGGGCTATGGCTGCACAAACCACTGTAAATATGCAGCTCCAATTCGTGCTGGAGACGAGCAAATACTGACAGCCGAGGCATCTGTCCACCGAATTAACCAATGTAAAAGTACAGTGTCTGGAAACGAGGCCGGAAGGTTGTCGCTACAAAAACCCCGGCTCGAGCACGTGGCAGAATAGGGGCTGCCAGTCGCTGTAATGACCTGTACATTGTACTGAGACATAAATATTCGCCGTTTTGCCACCGCATCAATGGCACGAGCCTTGAAATCCAACACCCAGAGCACAAAACATCTGCCGTCGTTGCAATGCAGGCAGCTGGCATGGGCAATGCTGTCTCGTAGGGTGTTACTTCCCCTGGTTCTTCACTGACTGACGACAGTTAAACAGTTCGGCGGACTCCGCGATCTGTTTGCTTTCTCGCATTGCGATTCTCTGTTGTCACATATTGATATTGAATATTAAATATTGAATATTGAAACGCCTACATGTCTAGACGCTCTATG